AGATATTTTTACATATAATTTTTTCTCTGTTTTATTAATAAAATATATTTTAAAAATAATATTTCTTAAATAAGGGGAATCAGTCAATGCAGCCATTTCAGCCAGAACTTCAAAAATTTCAGCAGAATCAGTCAAATCACCCGATTTTCGTGCTACCAAACGCGCTCTAAATGATACAACCAAAAGTTACTTAAAGTTACATAATACAAAAAGTTACTAAAAGAACAACTAAAAATTATTCAAGAAATTTGAATAAAAAGAGAATATTACCTGAAATAGGACTAAAAATGTTTGAAAATTCCAAAATAGGACTGTCATGTTTTTATTCCCAAAATAGGACTAATTACTGTCTTGTTTTGGCAGTACTAGACTTCAAACATGGCAGTATTTTCCAAACTTGGCAGTAATTACTCCTATTTTGGGAATAAAAAACATGACAATCATATTTTTTAAATTTCCAAACTTTTTTAGTCCTATTTTGGGAACTTTCCCGAATAAAATTGACTAAAAGGAACAACAAATTAAAAATAATGAAACTACATTATTATTCCTTAATCCGTGTATTTTACCAATCCATATTAATCATTTTATTATTTTATAAAAGAGACAACTTTAATTGATGGACCGTGTTCTCTAGAAGTTGTTTATCCTGTTCAAATGCGGAGTCCGATTTTGTTGAGTCCGATTTTGTTCGGGAGGGTGAACATCACACTCACCATACAATTCATGCCATTTGGCACTCCAATTATCTTTTTTCTTAAAATCTTTATAACTTTTTTATATATAATCTGATTTTCATAAAAAATATATCAAATTTAATAACTTTTTATTATCTTCCCAATGGTATCCATATTGCTTATAAAAAATTGAAAAAAAAACTCTTTTTTCTTAAATCTATTATTTGCGGGATTTTTTTTTTAAAAATTTTACATATTCAATATTGATACCATATGAAAGATCATAAAAAAAACATTGATATAATTTTTGAAAAAATTGAATAAAAAATAAAAAAGTTATAAGAATTGCAAAAGTTTAAACAATTGCCATGCCATGTGGCAGCCAAATAGGGGTGGGGTGATGTTCAGCCTCTTTTGAGGGGGTGAACAAAATTGTTCTCTCAAATGCGAACCACATCGATAATGTAAGGGTCGTCAATCGTCATTCATGACTTCTTTAACGATTATACCACGGCAAGTTGTCACCGCGTGTGCCGATACGAATTTCAGCACGACTTGGTGGGAATATAATAATGCAAGATAGTATTGGAAAAGTTAAAGAATAATTCCTAAATAATAAAATTCTATGAAATTCATTCTCAAAATTAATTGAGACAATGTGGAGTGATTTTATTATTTTATTCACCTTCATTATTGAGACTATGTACACTGTCTACAAGCTTTTTTAAATTCTTTCATATTAGACTCAATTGCTTATCTTTTCTAAAATAATGCTTTGGGTGTATCTACGGATACAAATACATTAATAAGATAAGACGTGGATGACATATTGACATGACTACTACGTATAATTTAAAAGGTAATACGTACTACATATATGTACATGAAGCATATATTATGTGTACTTTCTTAAATAAATGCAATGATCAACATTTCACATTTGTCGAAACACAACTTTAAACATTAATATATATAGTTCTCTATTAGTAAAAAATATTTTAAAAAATGAATTGTGAAAATTTATTATGAGACAAATTTAAAAATATTTTTTTCAAAAATATATACTCCCTCCTTCCCGAAAACAACTTCCCACTATCCTTAAATGGATGTCCCAAAATTAACTTCACACTTCAATACTTTCCTTATTTGGCAAATTATCTACATAAAAAAAGTGATAAACAGTGCCAAACAGTGTTTAAACAGTGCCAAACAGTGTTTGAACAGTGCAAAACAGTGCATTCTACAGTAAAGTCAAATTTATTTCCTAAAAGTGTGTGAAAGTCCAACCGGGAAGTTGTTTTCGGGACGGAGGGAGTATATTAATACATTAATAAATAAAACACAGTCAAAGTAGAACATGTGAATATTGTAAAATTCAAACTGTTGCATTTATTTAAGAACGAAAGTAGTATGTTGAAACGTACTAATGAAAAATGGTAAATTCACTCTCTTCAGTCTCTTGATATCTTAAATTGACAATTGTTACGGAAAATTTTACTAGTAGTCTAGTATAAAATATGATCATTCACGATGAGAGATAGAGTATGCATGTGATAAAATTATACTCGGTATAAAAATAATAATGTGTTCATTTATTTGATATAATTTCCTACATCTTTGGCATGCAATTTATTAATGTACAAACATTATCGAAATGGTTCAAGTGGATCACATCTCACACTTGAGATCTTATTCTTAGATTCCGGTCATAAGGAGGTTAAATTACGGAGGTGAGTTCGAAAGGAATTTTTTTCAATTGATGGTCCTCTAGTCTCCAAGGCAGACTTGGGTGCTCGATCAATCAGTATTTCATTGGGAACCTAGCAAAGTGTTCGAGTAACTGGAGTTTACTTCTATTAAGAGTTTGGGTAGGCTTTGAGGCCCAAAATTTGTCCTGCGAAGCCGAGATCACTTGAAGTTAACAGAAAAAACTAATGTCCTTTATTTAAATGATGACAACTACTATACTTTTCATCTTGCCACATTAATAAATTACTCTCTCCGTCCCACTTATATTGTCCCGTTTTACGTTTTTGAGAAGTCCCACTTAAATTGTCTCATACCATATTTGACAAAGTTTGTGTGGCTCTAAATCATTCTTACTTTATTCTTACTTTATCAATTAATATCAACCACACAAATTCACTTTTCTTAATAACCGTGTCACTCTCCTCTGGGACAATATAAATGGGACGGAGGTAGTATATGAATTCCATACATAGATATGTGGAGTTAAAGAGGTGAATTTGAACGGAACTTTTTTCAATTGATGACCATCTAGCCCCTTGAGTGTTGCAAAATTAGTGCTTCATAGGAAATCTAGCAGCGTGTTTCACATTGTTTATTCAGGATGATGGATTTAAAGTCTTGTCTAAATCCATCTATGTTCTGTAGTCTTGTTGACTTGTCTCTAGGCTTTGATATCTGATCTTGATGTTACATGCTGAGATTCTGATATTATAATATAGGGAAATTATCATTAACCTTCCTTGAGGTTTCATGTATTATCATTTAGGCCCCTGCACTATTGAAAATATGCACTTACCCCCTCCCTATCCTTTAATGAAAGTGTATTAACTCCTAATTACGTTTAGCAAGAGTATGAATTTAGTTATATAAATTTACTCACTTGTAGATTTAATCTGATTATAAATAAATTTATTTGTATTAAGAATCTTTCCACCAGAACATACTTTTGTCGTGGGAACGCGTACTTTATGATGAAATAATCCTTATTATTGACAAATTTATTAGGTGCATAACTACATCTACATGTGAGTAAAATTATAGGACTAGTAGCAGACACAATCGAAAGGTACAAGCTTAAAACAATAAATCTCTAATACTTTTAAAAGTTTGAAAATATATCTGAGATTGTAGAAATCTTGGTGAAACTTTTGTAACGAGGGAAAGATGCCAAATAATGAGCAGGGTTATTTTATACCTAAAACAGATGTTGGTGAAGGACTTTTAGGAGACTACATTGTTACCTATTGGAAATTGGTATGAGAAATACTTGCTTTGGAAATTTTTTTGTAAGTAATAAACTTTTGTCCTCCACTTTAGAATTCCCGACATTTCATATTTTAAGTATTGTGAAATTGACATTTGTCGTCCTTTTACTTTGATTTTGTCATCAAAAGTGGAGGTCTAAAAATGTAAACGACCGTGTTTGATAATAGTAGTTGTTGCTAGCTCATACCCGGTTGAATCAACAGATTGATAATAGCGGATTACATTAGCTTTTTAACTAACCGCTTTCATTAGTGGTTTCAAATAAAATGTTAGTAACTAGGTAAAAATTTGCAATTAGCTTTTCAGACGTAAAATGACCGTTAAAAAATTAATTTAAAAATTTATATATTTAAATTAGTTTTATTTCTTTTTTATTTTTAATTTTAGATCGGGATCGAGACCAGACCGGTGAAAAAAAGGCCTCAGCCTCACTTTATGGGATCAGGATTGGAGTCCATGTTTTGACCCTGTTCATTTTTTTTAATTAAAATCATCGAGAACACTTTAAAATGGGCTATATTCCATTTAAAAGTAGAAATACAGGTAGTTAAAAAAATATTGGGAGCGAACCTAGACCAATTAGGGGATTGGAACTGAAGATAAGGCCACGGCCCTAATTATTTAGCACTAACCAATTTGGGTGTGGAACCCGTCCTAAACTATAATGTCTGTACTAATATTTTAATTTACATGTAAACACGTTCATATTTTGTCAAATATTTAAATCTACAAGTTATTATTTTACCTATATATAGTGATCTCATTTCCAGTGATAACAAAGATTGTCTAAATTGGGAATTTTCTTGCGTTCAATTTTTAATGGTTAAATCGAGTAGGAAACTTCACTTTTGAGTCAGTTTGGTTCATTTATGTTCATTTGTTTCCATTTTTGTCAAATTTAGCATATCTTGATCATTTTCTATTGAGTAAATTTACTCACTTTACAAATTGAAATGCATAAAACGAACTATCTAGAGTAAGGTCAGTTTTGGTCATTCTTTTATTTGGTTCGACTTCCAATAGAAAGGTCTTTAATATGAACAAATTTATTAATTACCCGACCAAATTTGTGGTTGAATAGAATTACAATATTAAAAGCAGACTCATAAAAAAATTATGAAATTATATTCATAATTTTCTCTAAATATAAATTAAGAGTTATTTAACCATCATTAAAGGATATAGAGGGGGGTAAGAGTATATTTTTTATAGTATATGGGTGTGATTGATAATGCATCAAACCTCAGAGGGGTCAATGATAATTTCCCTATAATATATAATCCGTTTCTTAAAAAAACAATTACTCCACAGAATATTAGAATTGATAATCTCGTATACAAAGAAAAATATATTCATATCATGTACATGATTAATGTCTAACATATTACGCCATTACGGAGTATTTTTTTAAATAAAAACTAGAGAGAAGATAGAGAGTTTACAACCAATCAACACTGAAATTGACAAAGTTTGTTATTTTTGATGAAATCATTTTTCGTTGCTCAAAACATTGCTATCACCACCAGCCCTCACCTCACTAATGAAATTTGGAAGTAGAAGTGACGATATGAAGTCTGTTAGTTCATCAAGTGCTCTATATGAACTGCCACCATCTTTTTCAAAGCAATCTATAATTTTTTGTTTCATGTCCATGGAATTCTTCTTCATCTCTGTGCTCTCTTTTCCTACCATAAGTCTTCTTATAGTATCTGCAATCACACCTCTTTCCACCTTCTCCAACCCCAATCCGACCTTCCACTCTTGGATTAAGAGCCTGGCGTTAACCATTTGATCAGCAATGTGGGGTGTACAAATCATCGGAACGCCTTCACCGAGACTCTCCAACGTTGAGTTCCAACCGCAATGACTCCAGAATCCACCCACAAAACCATGTGCCAAAACCTTCTTCTGTGGTGCCCATTTCACTATTAGTCCTCTGTTTCCGATTCTTTTCTCAAAGTCTTCAAAGAACCGCTCTTTCCCGTGGGAACCTAATGAAAGTCGTCACATATATACAAACTCATATTTTAGTCTTTTATGAATTCTTTTAATCATGTTAGTCTTTGTGGCATCTATCATCATTCGAGTCATATTTCAATTTACACGTCTTCTCTATCTTTTTGGTATTTTTTATATTTATTTCATATAATTTTCATACTTTAAATAATTTTGTGTTAAAAAATATCATTGGTCAAACTTGACTACCATTGCCTAAGAAAAGTCAAAATGATCAAGTTTTGTGAGGCCGGGGAATATACAAATACAAACTCACTTTCGATTGAACCGGGACGGACCACCCACACAAATGGTTGGTTGCTATCGACCAAACCCCCAGCAATCTCTTCAATATCGCTTTCATTAATGGAAACTAAGCTCCCAGATGTGCTTACAAAGAGGACAGACTGAGGAGCTTGTTTATCCAACCATGTGAGGCAGCTCTCATCTTCTTCTATCAAGCTAGTTTTGCTAGTTGGTGCAATCTTGTGAAATGGGCCTATTGGAAAGATGGGCACTTTATAATGTTGCTGAAGCCTTGATAACCATGTGTGTTCGAGACCCTCCACTGTGTTCCATATTATGGCCACAGAAGATCTAATATCGTTTGAAGTCCACATGAAATGTCTTACTTCTTCTGAATGCATATACGTTGGCATATCTTGATACCTCATAGGATAAGACCCTGGAATTGGATCTTGAAGTCTTGACTCTGTATCATGAGTGGATCATGAACAAAAATTTCTTACTTTAATATTTTAGCATTGCAATGGCCACAAATTTGTAGCATGAAGACTATAGATTATTTGTTAATCCATGTGTTCAAATTAGGTTTAGGATACACTACTTTAAGGAAAATTTTCCCAAATGGAGTAAAAATAATAATTAAATAAGTTGATTTCTCTGAATAGGAATACTATGTGATTTTTCGGTTTTTCCTACACAAATATAATTAAATAAGTTGGTTATCTTATTTATAAAAGAAATAATTACATATTTATGACTAGGGAAAACTATCACATAAACCCCTCTACTTTTAAAAAAAAATCGATTAGACCCCCAACTGAAAATTCTTCCAATTAAACCCTCAAACTCATTAAAAATGTCAATTCTTCCATTTAGTCGGTAATGATCATATTAGCCGGTATCAATTAGATTCCTTTTTTTTTTCTTTTCTCTATTTTCCTTCTTCTTCGCCCTTCTCCTTCCACCCCTGACCCCCAGTTCCAACTTTCTTTGTTTCCTGTCACTTTCTTCCTTACACGTTCCCTTCTCCTTCCCTAGTTCTCTACTAGCTGCCATAATTTTCCTTTTTTTCGTTTTCTTTTTACTTTTTTTTCTTTCCTTCCCTCTTTATTTTCTTCTTCCCTTGGATTGAAACTTGGGTTTCTTCTGGCTTGAATTCCCAACCCGACGCTGCAGCTTCCCATTTTGACCAACCACGTTGCAGCCCAACTTCGCCCAGAACTTCCCCAACGCAAGTGAAATGATCAATTGAAATAATTTCTAACCCTGGATTTAACTTGGGTTCCGATAGGTAAAGCTTGGAGACCCAGATTCAATTCGAGATTCCAACATCGGTGGCGACTGACAATTTTCCAGGGCTCTGAATTGCATATGCAAAGGCGCTGCTTGACAGCTTGGAGGGGAGAGCACGTCACCGGGGATGGGTCAGCGAGATATCATCGACGATGAAGACTCCTGCTGGTCAGTCACGATGATGCGTCCATCTGCTCAGCCAAGACGGTGCATCCATTAGTTGGTTACGCACGAGGATGTATCCCTCGGGTCTGCTAGAAGCTGGGAGAGACTCAGAGACCGAAGGGGGAAATCGGAAGGAAGCAAAAAACAAAAGAAAAAGGAATTGGGAAAATGAAAAAACAGCCACTAGCCGGTTAACTCGATTCATTACCGGTCAAAAAGAAGATTCGCCATTTTTTAAAGAGTTTGAGGGTTTAATTGAGCCAATTTTTAGTTAAGGGGTTTAATTGATTTTTTTGAAAAGTAAAGGGGCTTATTTGATAGTTTTCCCTTATCACTAAAATAAAGATTGTTTACAAAAATGTGACTAGTGACTACAGTAGTAATGAAATCATAGTAACTTAAGTTCAATTTTTAAACTTAAGTTACGAGATAAGGGTCAGTTTGGTCCTCGAAGTTGCAAAAAAGGGGTAAAATAAGTCCTTATATAGAAGATTCTGTACGGACGTGCCATTTGAGGTGGCTCCCGGTAGAATTTTTTGATGAAATTTTTTTGAGAATCTTATTCATTAAGTCTAGTTTAGTCATACTAAATTTGAGATAAAAATTCAATCGGGAAGACATTCAAATGAATTCTTGAAGATAACTGTGCCGTTAAAAGCGCTGTTATCTTCAAGAATTCATTTGAATGTCTTCCCGATTAAATTTTTAGCTGAAATTTGGTATGAGTAAACTAGACTTAATGAATAAGATGCTCAAAAAAAATTATCACAAAATTCCACCGGGAGCCACCTCAAATGACACGTCCGGACAGAATTTTCTATATAAGGACTTATTTGACGCCTTTTTTGCAACTTCGAGGACCAAACTGACCCTTTACTCCTTAAGTTACCATGACACTACATTGTAGTAACTATTAATCATATAGAGGTAAAAAAGTTTTATTTTAGTAATATTTTTGAAAAAATCTTAATCAATTTTCAAGTTGTAGTTATATATGTATGTATATTCAAACTAATTCTTATTTGGTCGATTCTAGAGAGCTCTAGGATAATAAAATCGAAGTAAGTGTAATGTTGACAATACTAATATACGTTTCATTATGTTAAGATAATCTTATCATATGACCAGATGACAATACAAATATACTTTTCATTAATTTGTATGTATTGGAGTTAGTGACTATCAAAAAATCAAGATATAAAATATGTGTATATATACCTGGAAGGGGATAAATAGTGTGTGCATTTTCAAGACAATGGAGTAAAACTTGCAAGAAAGCAGCACTGAAGGGGCATAAAACGAGAGAGGGCAGTTTGAGAAGAGCAGCGACTTGGTCAACGAAGAACATGATGTTGTCATAGATGATACAAGAAACCATATCCCCCTTCTCTTCCAGGTACTCCTGGAGGGGTACCCTACAATTCTTATTCATGGCATACATGATTTCTAATCCTCTGCTTCCAGTTATATCATCACTGGCATCCAATCCGTCTGCCAAGCCGTGGAAGGAGAAGTCAGGGTGGTTTGAAGGGTCAGGCGCCTTGTATTGGGTGTGGGCCACTATGATGGAGAAGCCCTTCGAGTGAAGGATGTGTCCCAGTTGCAGCATAGGGGTGACATGCCCTTGGAAGGGGGCAGGCACCATAACCACACAGCCCCGCCGCCGCGTTTCAGCTCCGCCCTCCATTCCGCCTCTCTTTCTTGTCCGGCGTTACTGCTGGTAAATGGCATGCTTCAATTTATAAGTACGTGGTGATAATTACAAATCAAACAAAAGTCACTGGCAATGAGTAATGTCAACTAGCCTAACTACGTGGGAGAGACTTATTAGCTTAGTAAATTTGTGACTCAAAAGTAAATATTAAAGTGACAAGAAAGTTTAAGTGAAATACTCCCTCCCTATTTCAAAGATCTCTACAATAGTACCATAAAAAAGATCTCTACAATAGGGTTGGACACAACCTTTAAGGGTGAAATAGCGGATGTAATGAATAGTGTAGAAAAAGTAGAAGAGAAGGTGCAAAAGTATGAAAGAGAAAATAAAAAGTAAGAAAAATAAGGGTAATTGAGTATTTTTAAAAGAAAAAACTTATTAAAAATGGAAAGTGTAGTAAATTTTTAAATACATCCAAAAAAGGAAAGTGTAGCAAACTTTAAAATACGATGGAAGTAATTAATATTGATGCTGCCCCGCAATACATAAAAACATTTCAAAGTAGTTGAGTTATCGGTTTATTACATTTAAGAGTTAGAGGTCGTTTGGAACCACTGTTTTTCGGCTTATCAGGCTTATCAGACAACTTTTTCACCAAACACGTAATTTTTGCTTTCGAGGACTAAATTGTGTAATAAGCAGAAAAAGTAAGGTTGAAGTTACTTTTCTGGCTGTATTGGCTGAATTTACTGTAGATGACCATTTTAGCTATTTTTAAAGATAATTTTTTCTTTATTTTATTAATAAAATATATTTTTAAAATAATTTTTTCTTAAATCAGCAGATTCAGCCAATGCAGCCACTTCAGCCAGAACTTCATAAATTTCATCAGAATCAACCAAAATAGCCGATTTTCGTGCTACCAAACAGGCTCTTAATGTACTAAAATACATCAATAATATTAACATTTGAAAAACTGTTTATGTATTTTTTCGCATATCAATTTAGAACACTAAGTAACCGAAGCTCGGGATTGAAATGAATTCGTAGCGAGGCATGACATAAATATGAGGACCTGAGGTTCTCCTAACCGGAGCTTGGATGCAAGGGTAGACAACTTGTAAAGTAACAAGGATTTTTAAGCTAATTTGAAGAAAAACAACATACACCAAAAGTCATTAAAATTTACGTTATTGTCAACGCAGGTTTACAAAATGTCTAAAGCAAAGGAATCTCCATCTAAGCGTGACTTGGTAAAAAGAATAACCAAATTATTTGATAATATATGATGTTGTTTGGGAGAGTCAAGGATTTTATTTAGATACTACACACGCTTACGGAGTTTGAGATGTTTTATCATTTCTATGCACCTTTAATTTGTTTATTTACATCGAGTTTTGTTCATTTTAATCATCTCAGTATCTCACTATTATGTTAGTCACATTTTTTATACATTATTTTTTATTCTATGTTTAATAAAAGGGATCGTATCTGATATTCTGATAGGTCGATCCAGAAACAGGCGACACTTAACCCGTTATGGTCACCTCCTAATATATTACAAATGGGGCTACATGTATTTGGCTCTTCTAAATTTTTCAAATTAAACTCGACGGCTCATCTTATTTAAAATAATGTTTTGGTACACATAAAAATACATTAATAACGTTTTTGAGAATCAAGATAAGATGTGTAAATTGAAGTGTACTACGTATGTACATGAAGCATATTGCTGGAACGTAGCAGTGAAAAATGGTAAATTGAGTCTCCTGATATCTTAAATTGACAATTGGTATGTAAAATATTATAATAATATGATCATTAAGGATGAGAGATGGATCGGAGTATGCATGTGATAAAATTGTATAGAAATAATAAAGCATCCTTTTATTCGATACTAGTTACTCCACCCGTGCGTTGCACGGGAGTGAATTACATACATAATAGTTTAGATCCAATTTAATAAAAATTAAAAAAAAAGTGATCCAGCTAACTGAAAGCATTAAATACGGAGTAGAATTTTAATTTTTAAATAAGGTGTCCTTGTAATAGCAAAGTAAGAAATAAAAAGTACACATCAAAATTAAAACATTATGAAATGAAGTAGCTGTACACGTAAGTCCATAAAACTGTCAAGAAAATTTCGTATAATATTCCCTGTATCCAACACAAGGCAAGCATAGGCGGTCATCAAGTCCATACATCTTCATCAGATCACATATCACAAACTTCAGACCCCGGTTGAGCTGTTACTCTCAAAATCTCCACGTACACATGTTCATGTGTAAGAACATGGCAACGGAGGAAGATGTCAATTTATTTGAACAATTGTCCTTTTCTCTTATTAATAATCATTACATACTAATCACTACTCCATTCGTCCCTCTAACTTTGTCTCGTTTTACATTTTGCCTATCCCATTAAGTTCCTCCCCTATAATTTTTGATAATATTTCAGTGGTTACAATTCATTCTTACTTTATCAGGGAAAATCACACTTTTAGTCTCTGAAATAGTCACGAAAATGAAGTGTCAGACCCGTATTCCCAAGTTTGTAAATGTCGTCCCTCAATTATCCTAAATGATGTAAATGTGGTCCTTTGAGGGGTGAAATATACAATGTGGGCGAGAGTACATTTCACCCTTTAAAGGACCACATTTACAACAATTCGGACAATTGAGGGTTGACATTTACAATATCAGAAATACGGGTCCGACATTTCATTTTCGTGACTATTTCAGGAACTAAAAGTGCGGTTTTTCCTTAATTTAAATAGAAGTTCTCATATGAAAACATTCATTTCATCTTTTTAGGCCAAAAGTTGAAAATCACTTTTTAATTGTTCGCAAATATATCCTAAGTGTTTCCATGTCTTTTCTTAAAAGAAGTGAAATTTTTATTTTTAAGTGATTGTTTCTATTTAAATTAAGCACTTTAAATCTAAAAATTGAAAAACTATAAAGAGATGCTTAAAATTTCTTTTCACTTTTGCGATTAAATAAAAATTATTTTTACCAAATACTATTAACTTTTACTTATTCAAAATCAATTTTTATTCAAATACTAATGATTTTTCTATTGAGTATTTTCTCTAAAATCACTTTAAAAACATACTTTTTGGAGAAGAAACCACAAACACTCTTATATGCCTACATCTATATTGATGTATCATCTCAGAGATTCTATCACTCCTTTCATCCCAAAATTAATCAATGATAGGGAAAAGGTGCAAATAGGCCCATGTACTAACCAAAAAAGGTCAAATAAGCCCTTATTTAGGAGGCTCTTTCCGGCCGTCGTCATTTCGGGTGGTTCCCGGTGGAATTTTTTGATGAATTTTTTTGAGTATCTTATTTATCAAGCCTAGTTTACTCATACCAAATTTCATATAAAACTTCAACCGGGAAGTCATTCAAATGAATTCTTGAAGATAACTGCGCTTCTAACTGCGCAATTATTTTCAAGAATTCATTTGAATGCCTTCCCAATTGAAGTTTTAGCTGAAATTTAGTATGAGTAAACTAGACTTAATGAATAAAATTCTAAAAAAAATTCATCAAAAAATTCCACCGGGAACTACCCCAAATGGCGACGGCCGGACAGAGCCTCCTAAATAAGGGCTTATTTGACCTTTTTTGGTTAGTACATGGGCCTATTTGCACCTTTTCTCATCAATGATACTAAGGTGAACTTGAGTAGTTCTCAAGCAAAATTAATCAATGCCCACTCTTATATCCCAAAATTAATCAATGATCCTAAAACAATGATACTTTGAGTAGTTCTCAAGCAAAAGCCTCTTAATTTTAGCATCTATTAATGATTGAAGCTTGTTACACAAAAAGTAACTATGTCAAAAGTTAACACTTACCAAACGGGGACACTTTTTCCTTTTAAGAAGTGTTAACTATCACAGATTTACAGAGTCTAAATTTCCTAATATTAAATCTCTATAACTTTTAGGATGCTTTTATTGAACTTAAGTTTCTGGTCTGGTAAATGTCTGTTTTCTGTGTATTTTATACATATTCAAGTCTGGTGTGGTAAACGTCCGGTCTCTGTGTATTTTATAACTATTCAAATCTGGTCTGGTCTAGTCTGGGATTGAAAACAGTCCAAGTAAAAGCATCCTTATATCCCTTTATCAATACTAACTCCCTAAACACTGACAAATGCAGGCTATAACCTAGTGCACCTTATGTATTTACCCTGGAAACTGCAAATAGGGGCGGACCCAGGAAATCCATCTTGGGGGGTTCAAAATATTTTTTAGGGGGCGAAAATTATTTTTTGAGGGGGAGAAAATTATTTTTCGTATATATATACCCTAAAAAAAAATTGTCACGGGGGTGGTAACCCTCTGAGTCTGTATTACGGTACGCCCTTAAGTGCAATGCAAATGCACCTAACATATTTACTTAGTTATCTTGCCGATCAAACCATAACAAACTATGTGTTAAGCATAATTCAATTTCCTAAGTTAATGCGTTTATATTGTTAGAAAATGCACTGTCAAAGGTACAAAGTGGGAATCATCCAACTGGTCCCAACCAAATGAGCACATAAAACTTGCAGTAACCGGGGAAAAGGATTGCACCCAGCCATACACTTACATTATCTTCATCAACTGTATCTCCACGAACAGACTCGGCCCCTAACTCATCGAGCCATCGCGATAAACTTAATTTCTTCATTTCATCTGCCAAACATAATTTACCATCAATAGAAGTATAGAACATAACAGCATTGAAGTAAAAAACAATTGATGATCAGGTTTAAAAAAACCGGTGGCAATCTGGGAATGGATTGAATGAGCATAATGGGAGGTCAACTTCCACAGCAAGTATAGTAGAACTCTTGGATTGCAATAAGCCCCCATGAAAAAAATATAGATATGAGTAATAATCTTAACCAAAATACTTTTTCCTTAAGATACAAAAATCATTAATTAATTTGTTTACAATTAAAAGAAAAAGGGAAAATTGCACATTTCGTCCCCGAATTATCCACCATATTGAAATTCTAGACTCGTGTTTCATGTTTTTTAAATGTCACCCCTGATTTGTCAGAATAATTATAAATGTCACCAATGCCGTTAGAAATATTACAAACGGCATCTGTCTTTCCAATTTTTCAGGGTTACACACGTCAGTTCCCATCCTTTTACGTTTAAAGCCCTAAATCGAATAAAAAACCAAACTTCTAAAAAAACTGATTCTGGGAGTAAATTGAGAATCAGATCCAAACACCCCTTACTTTAACAAAAATGTTCTCAATTTTTCATTAAATTTGAAAATTGTAATTTTTTTCGGATCGGGTGACCCGCTGGATTTATTTTTTAAAATCATACAGAGTATTTCTAGCTAGCTAGCCATTAAAATCCAACTAGCTAGCCATCGAGGCATCGATGGTAATATATCTGGCCTATTCAAATTTTTATGATGATTTATTTAAGTTCCAAATATACATATACTCTGCATATTATCATAATCAATATAATGTACATGAATAATGTATGTGATCCAGATGTTATATCAAATGTTTATTGATTTATTTTTCAATAAAAACTTGAGAATACATAATCATATAGAGTTCACATTCAGATTGACCAAGTATGTTACTACCTCCATCCAACTAAGATTGTGATGCTTCGGTTTACGATGTTTGACCGACGATAAAGCAAACAGATCTTTATCCGCTGTCAAATTATTTTTAGAAAAAAAATAGATATTCAGAAACTACATTAATAGTTTTACAAAGTCGTGAAAACTTGAATCAAATTTGATAAAAAATTAATATACAAAGTAAGAGATTAAGAGAGATTTGGATTAACCAAGTGAATAGGAGCTGAGTCAATCTCGGAGGACGGAGGAGTATTATTTATGAAATCGGTTTTTGTTGTTCAAAACTTAGCTATCACCACCAGCTCTCACCTCACTAACAAAATTTGGAAGCGAAAGTGATGCTATGAAATCTGTTAGTTCTCTAAAAGAACTGCCCCCATCTCTTTCAAAGCAGTCATCAAATTTCTTCTTCACTTTCATGGCATTCTTCTTCAGCTCTTTCCTTTCATCTCCCACCATAAGTCTTCTAATAGTCTCTGCAATGATACCTCTCTCCACCTTCTCCAAATCGAGCCCGACATTCCATTCATGGACCAAGAATCTAGCATTCACAAGTTGGTCAGCGAAGTGGGGTCTACAAATCATTGGAACACCTTCACCAAGACTCTCCAACGTTGAGTTCCAACCGCAATGGCTCCAGAATCCACCAACTGAGCCATGAGCCAATACTTTCTTCTGCGGCGCCCATTTCACTACTAGTCCTCTGTTTCCACTTCTTTTCTCAAAGTCTTCTAAGAACCGCTCTTTCCCTTGAGAACCTAGTAAGAGTTGATCATACACACGGACATTCAAACTCACATTTAATCCTTTATGTATTCATTTAATTAATTATGTTACTACCTTCATCACATTAATATTGGAACATGAGAATGTCGTGCAGATATTAAAAAAATGATATTTTTTGTGATTGATATTGAATGGATAGCGTAAGAATGATATAAGTCACACAATTTTACCAAATTTGGGAGCATGACTTAGTGGGGCAAATTGAAAAGAAAAGAAGAGAATAGTTTTTTAGGATCATCAATCATATCACATTTCATTTGTTTTCTTTTTCTTTTAGCATTTGTGTATATATTTATTTTTTTGTAGATAAGCATAAGAATAAAAAAAACTAAAATGGATTTAGATGGGAGGTGAATGGGGTGAATCTAGGCATTTGCAATAGGCTAGAGTGCTAGACTCAAGAGTGACAATATATTAGGTTTACACAGACCTAGACTGAGATAAATATTAAAATCTATATATATGCACGAAAAATTCAAAGGAACAAGACTCTTTGGTAACATTGAAGTTAGTTGAATTAATTGATTCTGTTGAAATTGATGGAGTTATGGATGAAGCGGCTGAATCAGATAAATCTGTTGAATTATACTCCCTCCGTCCCTCTATTAAGTTCCTACTTTGACCTACACACATATTTAGGAAATAAATTTGACTTTACTGTTTAGACACTGTTTGGCACTGTTTAGACACTGTTTGGCACTGTTTGACACTGTTTTGATGTAGGATAACTTTCCATTTAGGGAAATGAGAAGATTATTTTGGGACGGCCCAAAAAGGAAAGTAGGAAGTTAATAGCGGGACGGAGAGAGTAAAAAGTTATATTTAGAATATATTTTATTAACAAAATAAAGAAAAAGTATATGAAAAACAACTGATATGCCCATCTACAATATCTTGAGTTAATTCAGTTAGACAAGTAACTTGAAACTTTACATTCAGCGCGCAAAATAAAAAATTACTTATTTGATGAAAAAGTTTATTGATAAGACTAATAACAAGAAAATAGGGGCCACCAAACGAGTTCCAAGTTTTCTAGAATCCAATCCACCATAACCTTAATAGTAGATCTACTCATTTATTCCTTAGAGGAGTAATATTTGGGGTAAATAATTTCTACATTTGGCTTGTTGAGAAATACAAAAAGTAATGCTACATCACTATATAGAAAAACAAAAATAAATCATTATTATAATAAATATCAAGACTCCCCTTCCGATACCCTCCAACCAAACAAGTAACTCCTAAATTATCACCTCACAAAAAGTATTTCCTCTGACATCTAAAAATCCTTTCTCACTTAATTGAGTTGAGCAATTTTAAATGCAAGAAGTGATATGATATCGATGTGTTCATTGCAAAAACGGGTAATTGGGTCAAACTAAAATTTAAAAAGAGTTCATAGTTTCAAAAGTGATCTATTTCATTTTCAATGATCCACCATTTTACGCAAGCCACTTTCTCTTCTTCACAATTCTACTTACACCACACATTTCCCACTTTTTTAATCCGTGAGTAAAGTCAAAACATGAGTTTAATTTGGACGGGGATAGTAGTATAAGGATACAAACTCACTATCAATTGACCCGGGACGGACTGCCCACAAGAACTGCTGGTTGCTATTAACCAAACCCCAAGCAATCTCTTCAACATCACTTTCATTAATCAAAGCTATGCTCCCACATGTACTTACATAGAGGACGGACTGAGGAGCTTGTTTATCTAACCATGTGAGGCAGCTCTCATCTTCTTCTATCAAGCTAGTTGTGCTAGTTGGGGCAATCATGTGAAATGGGCCTATTGGAAAGATGGGCACTTTGTAACGTTGTTGAAGCCTCGACAACCATGTGTGCTCAAGATCCTCCACTGTGTTCCATATTATGGCCATGGATGACCTTATATTGGTGGTAGTCAACATGAAGCGTCTTATTTCTTCTAATTGCATAAACTTTGACAAATCTTGATACCTCACTGGATAAAGACCAGGAATTGGATCTTGAAGTCCTGACTCTGTATCATCTATGAGTCATTATGAACTAAGATTAGTTGCTTCA